CTTAAGCCTCAATTTCCTCATCTGTAAAATAGGGATTGTACTTAAATCTTTTTCAAAGAGTTGTTATGAGAATTAAAGAAAGAAATACTGCAGGTTAGAACAGCTGTGTGGAGCATGCACAATGGTAGCCCCCATTAAGGGGTGCTGTTATTAACAATGGGTGTAATTGGACCAGCCTAGCCATGGCAAGCATGTGACAGTGGGTCGTTTGGAGAGGGTGGGAGTAAGCCAAGGAAGGCAGTGATTTTCTCTCCTTAAATGACCACCAGAGCTGAAGAGCCACAGTACTGTGGGGCCAGGCCAGGTGAATGCTAAGCATTCATTTCTTGGACAGATTCTGATGGCTCAGCTACTCATTCAGGTGATATATATTGAAAGTTTACTATGTGCTAGGTCCTCGGTACGTACCGGGAACTACAGGATGGCACAGTTACCCCAACATGGGTACCCTTTGTTGGCTGCAGCTCTTCAGCCACAGGGTTGCTGGGCATAGGGCTTGGTGCTGAGCAGACTACTTTTCTCTTTCATAAGTATTCTGGACCCAGTGCGAGCTTGGGTGTTTAATACGGCATTAGTATCCACCACTCCTCTGCAAGTGCTGTCCTCAAGGTCACCAGTGAGCTTCTCATGACCAAATCCATTAGCCTTACCTGAGACCATGCTTCCATGCCTCCAAAGCTGTGCCACCCAATGGAACTTTCTGCAATGACGGCTGTGTTCTAGTCTGTGCTGCCCAATATGGTAGCCACTAGCCACATGCGGCGTTGAGCGCTTTAAATATGGCAAGTGTGACTGAAGAGCTGAATTTTAAATTTTAGTTGCATTTAAATAGTCACACATGTGGCTAGTGGCTCCTCCGTGAGACAGCACTGCTCTAGAGCATTCAATCTTGTTGTCATCCATCCCTTTCTGGTAACCCTATGCTCTTAGCTTTGGCAACACAGCATTCTTCTGGTTCTCTGTTAGCTCCTCTCTGTCTCCTCTTACTCCTCTTGCCCACTAAAAATAGCATCCCCCCAAAGTGTCTGTGCTCTGCCCTTCTCCCTCTGCTTTCTGCACTGTCTTTCATGTCTGGTGAGGCAGCCCCTGGTTTCTAACTTGGAGCCGTGTGGAAATGACACCCAGCATGGTTTCTAATCCTCATTCCTCTTTTTGACTTTGGACTAGTGTTTCCACCTTTAGCCTGGTGGTCACTTGGACATTCTGCAGTTGCCTTGGATTTACCATACCCCTAACTGAAATCATCATTTCCATGTCCTCCTAACCCCCTCCTCCTCCACCCGGCTCTGCTGCTGCTTTACTGATAACCTGTTTTCCTTTTCTCCTTGGCGTCATCTGTGACGTGCCTCCCTCTCTGTTGTCCCTCACTCCCTAACTGTTGTACAGTCTTCAGATTCCTAACGCACAGCACTTTGTTCTCAAGGGCTCTCTTTTTTTGATAATAAAAGTCAAGGCTTATTGTTGAAAATTTACTATATTCAGAAAAATACCAAAAAGAAAAGAAAAGAAAAGAAAACTTGCGCATAATTGTAACCATCCCGAGAACCATTTTTAACTTTTTTGGTGTGACTTCCCACATATAACCTTCCCTAACCTCTTGCCTGGATTACTGTGGCTGTGAACGCTTGGTGTCTCCCCCACCCTAATCCACTGCTATTTCCCAAGGCTGATTCTCATCATATCACTCTTCTGTTCTGCTCATAAATCTCCAGAGGCACCCAGTTGTCTACTGCATTAAGTTTGTCCCCACTGATGGGGCATCATGCCAAGCCGACCTCTGCTTTCCTAATGCTCAACAGCCCTGATATGGGAGATGTTACTGACACACCACAGTTAGAAATGCCCACAAAAGCAGGAACTCATAGTATCAGTTATGGTTAGAATAGATACCAATTTAGCTTGGCTTAAATTTATTAAGCACTACTATTTCCATCCTTTTTTTCTAGGAAGCAAAACTCCAGGCCAGGCTCGGTGGCTCATGCCTGTAATCCCAACACTTTGGGAGGCTGAGGCAGGTGGATCACTTGAGGTCAGGAGTTCGAAACCAGCCTGGCCAAGACAGTGAAACCGTGTCCCTAATAAAAATACAAAAATTAACTGGATGTGGTGGTGCATGTCTGTAATCCCAGTTACTTGGGAGGCTGAGGAAGGAGAATTGCTTGAACCCTGAGCAAAAGGTTGCAGGTGGGCGGCTGAGATCATGCCACTGCACTCCAGCTGGGTGACAGAGAGAGGACTGTATCGGCAATAAATAAATAAATAAATAATAAAATAAAGAAGAAAAAAAAAAAGAAAAAAAGAAAAGAAGAAAAAAAAAAAAAAGGAAACAAAACCTCCAAAGCCATTACCTTTTAGATTGTGGTAGACAGATTTATTATACTGGATTTTGCTTCTTTGCAAATTAAAAAAGTTTTTGTCCATTTGGTTCCCTGAGATAGTTGCAGTTTCTAGTTCTATGTGTATTTTCTAATTACATAGCATACAAGTCTGTAGAGTTAAACATTTCCCTTCTTAGACCCCTGGAGAAAACTTTTTTTCCAGAGCTGAAACTCGTACCCTCTTTGCTTGAGACATCACCTCTACTGAGTCTTGATACTTTGAGTCAATGAAAAATGAATCAATAACTATTTATTGCATGCCTGCAAGCAATGGGCTCCTGCATTGGACAAAGATGTCCTGAGCATTCTTAGAATTTGGGGTCTTCCTGGCGATGGACTTGGCCTCTTAACAAAGGCCATGCTGTATCTTGATGATTGAGCATCCAGTTGGTTTTGCCTGCTTGATGGCTCACTGGCCCGAGCATGGGTATGACTCTGCCCACACTGTTGCCTCCTCAGTGTCTGGGAGGTTTCATGGGAGAGGAGGAAGACTTTGTCAAGTTTTGCTCAGTGGCCTGAAAATTAATCTTGTGCTCAATGAGTACGGATTTAGTTCCTAATGAATTCTGTCCTCAGCTATGTCTTATTTATCTTTTAACAGCTCCCTGGCACATGTAAGCAATTAATAAATGGTTGCTATTATTAGGATTATGATTATACAGATGCCTGTGCAAACATTTTCTTTGTCTCTGCCTTTTCTCGGGCTCTAGACTAAGTGCCCAGCTGCCTCCTGGCTGTCAGGCACATTTGCACCTTGCCTGTGTTGTGATGTAGGCTCAGCCAAGCATGCCTTCCACCCTCCTCCCCTCCTATTAAAATCCTGTTCACACAGTTAGGACCTTTCTAATGCCTCTTCCTCACATGCAGCCTTCCCCCAGGTTAGAGCTCATTGCATCTTCTTCTCTGCTTTGTGTTGTTTCTTGTACCCCCCGTAGTAAGCTGTGGTCCTACCTGTAATAACTTCAGTTGTTTACGTGTCACACCCTCAGCCTCTCATTGAATGTGGTGGAGACTGTATTTACAATGCTCACCCTGCCAGTCTCAGGACCTTGTATAGTTCATACGTGTTTGTCTGATTCACACTGTCATAGAAATTCCAAAGCCCCCAAGTCTTTGTTAAACTTCTTCAGGAAGAGTAGAGCAAGTGCCACAAAGTCCTGGCCGTATATCCCAGAGACATTCTCATGGCTTAGCTGTTGGGTTCGAGGCCTCTGCCAAGGATGAGGGGGCTGGCGCTGGACTCCGGCAGGTGGAGTTCCTTGTATTTTCAGAGATCACCAGGAATCATAATAATAGTTCATAGAAAAATAGCTTATTGTCAAAAGTTAGAGGTCCACCTTGTCTTTTGGGGCCCTGTAAGCCACATGTTTTCTGGAAAATAAAATAACGAAGAGAAAAGCAATTATTCTTACTCACATAATTTTTTGCTTTTGTAAAAGAGAGACCTGTGAAAGACTGGGATACCCAGCTTCTCACCGCATCAGTTTCCTTATCTGTAAAATAGAGAGGATCATAGTACCCATATCGCGGGGTCCTGTGAGGAGGAATTATTTTTATGCATATAAAGTGCTCAACAAATAGAGTTTTTATTATTATTATTTTATTATGTATTTTATTATTATTATTACATATGTGCTTAATAAATGTTAGCAATGTTAATTATTATTATTATATATATACTTAATAAATGTTAGCAATTATTATATATGTACTTAATAAATGTTACCAATTTTTATCTCATTACCACTAATGCACTAATGGACATTGTCTAATAAATAATTTCTATGATGTTGCTAGCACTAGAGAGACACGAATCTTTGAGTTCACCTAAGCTACTGTTCACCCTGAAAAGATTCAAGAAATATCAATAATCTCAAACTTTTTTAACAGCACTAACTTTCTTTTTTTAAAATTATACTTTAAATTCTGGGATATATGTACAGAACATGCAGGTTTGTTACATCGGTATACACGTGCCATGGTGGTTTGCTGCACACATCAACCCGTCATCTACATTAGGTATTTGTCCTAATGCTATCCCTCCCCCAGCCCCCCACCTCCTGACAGGCCCTGGAGTGTGAAGTTCCCCTCCCTGTGTCCATGTGTTCTCATTGTTCAACTCCCACTTATGAGTAACATCACTAACTGTCTAATAGTTGTGCATATCCATTGTCGTGCATCGCTGTGACCTGCCGTCCCACCCACACATAACATCAGGTTTATTATGCCACACTAGCCACTTGATTCACCTGCACATTTGATCGTAGGTATTAAAAAAGAAGTGTGAATGGCAAGGAATAAAAACTGAATTCTTTCTTTTATAGTGCTGCAATTTTGGGGGTGGGGTAGAGCTGAAAATTGCAGTTACCTGGTTATTACAAGGCAATTACCTCAACAGTACTCTTCTTTCTTGCTCACGTTTCAAAGGAACACATGTGCAAAGGGCCTTCTTCTCCTTTAATGGTCTTGACATCGCATCATACCTAAGGGCAGAACTATGACAATACTTCTCTTCCTGGTTGCCAAAAGTAACATGCGGGGGGCACATCGCAGTTGTAAAGGCAGAATGGCCTCTTTTTGGTGGCTGGCTTGGAATTGCAAATATTTTTCTTTCTTTCATAGGAGATGGCTCGTGGAAGAGAGGAGACAAACACGACTTTGAAGCTAAGCAAGCATACTCGTCCCTCCAGACAGTCACTCTACTGAGGACAGTGAAACCCGAGTTTGAGAAGTTTTCCATGGAGGTGAAAAGTTCTGTTGAGAAACAAGGACTCAATATGGAGGATTACGTAAGTGCCTGATTATGAACCTAGGCCTTCAGCATCCTGAAAACAGTCTTCTAATTAAATCAGAGATGACAGAGTGTCCCGTTCTGAGCCATTCAAAAATTCCTAGGTTCAGGTCTGAATTTCACTGTTGCCTTCTGTGTGTGTGTGTGTGTGTGTGTGTGTGTGTCTGTTTTTCTTTCTGAGTGGTTTTCTTCCTTCCCTCCCAAATATACTCACTATCATCTCTACCCTTCACTTACACTTTTTCAGCTGCTGCAGGAAGGACCATTGCTATTTCATGGGCACTTGTGGTGGTGCTGAGTAGAATGTCTGTAGACTTCCATCACGTATTTGACTAAGAGGGTTTTGGGGGAGAAGAAGGATGAAGGAGTGCCAAAGGTTTGCATGCCTCATTTTTCCAAAACTTGGTGGCATTGGGTATTTGGGGTTTTAGGAGACACTTTCTTTTGGCAGCCTGGCTTAGCGCTCTGGCTAGTCTGCTTGTGGATGGTGTTGTCGCCTCTTTCTGCTGGAAGTTGCTTCCTACTCACATATTGCAGGACTTCACATTCCATTAGTGCTGTTGTTACTAGTGCATTTCAGGAGTGGACAAGAGTCAGAACCTTAGTTCAGACTGAGGATTAAGCAGAGGGACTCATCTAAGAGCTGGCACCGCAGGCAGCTGACCACACCTCATTTGGCATCATTGTTTTGACTGCCTCTGACATGCTTTGCTGCATGGCCAACACACCACTCCTGTAAATCCTTTCTTAGAGCAGGATGAGCGGTGGGCACCTTGGACTAGTTGAGTAGGTGTGCTGGTCTTCAAAACGAATCACTCTACAGCATCCAAAACTGAAAAGGAGCACCTTCTTCCTCCTCTTCTTTTGTTTTGAGTCAGCAAACTCCTGTCCCAAACTCCTGGGCTAAAGCGATCCTCCCTGTTCAGCCTCCTGAGTAGCTGGGACCACAGGTGCACACCATCATGCCAGCTAATTAGGAGCACATTCTTAATGATAGGCATACGGCCTGGATAGTCCCTGCTCAAATTGGATAATGATCAACTTCATAAGAGATGGCCACTTCCAAACAGGGTTTCTCCTAGTTTCTCTACTTGAAGTACCACGGAGTACTGGCATTGGCCTCAGAGCTGCCTTCAGAGTTTAGATCTAGCACTTCCGAGCTGTGTGATCTTGGGAAAATTGCTCCGTTTCCCCGATGCAAATTACTTGTTCCTGCTGGAGGATTTCGGATTATTTACCTGAAGCATTTAGCACTATCCCTGTCAGAAAGTTACAACGAAATAAATGGTACCTCTTTTGTACCACTGTTTCAAGATTATACCTGTCTTTATAGGAATTTGTTATCAAATGGCATGCAAAGTGTCTTATACACATATTTATTAATGTTTTAAATGTTGCATATACTATACTCACATCATTTAAAATATCTTTTGACTTTTTAAATCAGTGCTGTCTGGTAGTTATACAACGTGAGCCAAAAAAGTGAGCCACATATATAATTTTAAATTTTCTAGTTGACACATTTGAAAAAGTGAAAAAAAAATAGGCGAAATTAATTTTAATAATATATTCCAATTAACACAATATAAACATAATATTTCAACATTTAATCAATTAAAAATTTTTAATGAGATGTTAATGTATTTCTTGTACTATGTCTTGGAAATCCAGTGTGATTTTACACTTACGGTGTGTGAAGCTCTTGTTCAAGTGCTCCACATGACATAGCCACACATGACTAGTGGCTACCATATTGGACAGCGTGTTCTGAATTATGAAAGAAGTAGGGTTTCTGCAACAGAGCCTACGTTTAAGGAAACATATGGTAGTGCTGTCATCATCCAAATCCTTTGTCTCAGAAACAAGAAAGAACACAAAAGGTATTGAACTTCCTTCAGTAGTGCTGCCACATGTAGGCTGGGTCGTTATTGAAAACATCAAACTCTTTTACATATGCCACTGTATATTATTTTACTTTATTAGGTTCATATTAATTTTATGGTTTAAAAACTCAACAATGGTGCCATGTTGTCTGGTTTCCTCTCATTGGGCAAAAGTTGGCATCCCAGCCAGGAGCAGTGGCTGACGTCTGTCATCCCAGCACTTTGGGAGCCTGAGGCAGGCGATTGTTTGAGCTCAGGTGTTGAACACCAGCTTGGGCAACATGGTGAAACCTCATCGCTACAAAAAATACAAAAATCAGCCAGGCATGGTGGCATGCACTTGTAGGCCCAGCTACTTGGGAAGCTGAGGTAGGAGGATCACCTGAACCCAGGGAGGTCGAGGCTGCTGCAGTGAGCCGTGATCGCACCACTGCACTCCAGCCTGTGTGGCAGAGTAAGACCCTGTCTCAGAGAAAAAGTTGGCATCCCACTACTGGGTAATTCTTCTTGGTTATCTGTTATTCTGTGTTCATAATATTACATCTTATTTTAATGGTAGTCTAAGCAAAATCTCACTGGAAAGGTATACCTACTACAAAGATTTATAGAACATTCCAAACCTAATAAGAGCACTGTAGAGATTGTTTGCAGCCCTAGATTACCATACTGCTTCCCTCTGATAGTGAGACTGTTAAAACTGACTTCATAAATAAGTAAAAATTAGAATTTTAAGTAGAAGGTAGAGCTAACTATAATAACTTATTTTAGTTCTGAAGATGTGTCCATCTTTTGTATGTATGTAGGTTTTAGTGGGGCTTTTTTTTTTTTTTTTTTAAGATGAGGCCTCCCTGTGTTGCTCTGGCTGTTCCTGGGCTCAAGTGATCCTCCTGCCTTAGACTCTGGAGTAGGTGGGATTACAGGTGCACACCACCACGCCTGGCTGAGTTGGGCTCTTGTAAACACCAACTGCAGATGTTCATCAAGTTAGGTTAGACAGGTGGTCCTGGTGAGTATCATGGGAAGGAACTATGGGAGCCAAAGAGCCAGCACCTGATGTGGCTGGGTTCCCAGAGACTAGTCCTTGATCTAATGTGGTGGGAGAGCCTGTAGGAGTCTGGGGTCTTCTCTCTAGACTCAGTCTTTTTGCTTCTCTTACTTGTGCTAATGAGTTGTCTCATCTGCTTTCTTAGAACTCCAATTGATGACACCCATCGTGAGCTCTTCGTTCTCTGCTATCCATCTCGAATTCAGTGACTTTGGTGGACTCTCATTTGTTCTAAAATTTACCATGCATTTCCAAAGAATCACATAATCTAGGAATAGTGGCAGTTTTGTTTCTTTCAAATTCTTCTACTTTTAAGTATGTTTAATTGAAAGTGTACTTAAGAAGCTGGGCACAGTGGTACATGCCTGTTTTCCCAGGTACTTGGGAAGCTGAGGTGGGAGGATCACTTGAGTCCAGGAGTTTGACCCCAGACTGGGTAACATATCAACACCTCACCTCTAAAAAGATAAGTAAATAAAGTAATTTTTTAAACGTATAATTAAGAGTGTGTGTACTTAATTCAAGTATTAAGTATATTGAATTAAAATTAAGTATAATTAATTAAATTAAAACTTCAAATGGCCTTGAGTGGGATCCCAATACATGTTAAATATAAGCAGTGATAGTGGGCATCTTAACTTTAATGTAAAGAGTATATGCCAGAATTCATATCTGTTCACATCACCACTTAAGCATGATGTTTGCTGTGGAGTTTGGGGGACACTCTTTATTAGACTGGCAATTCCCTTTTCTCTCTTGTTAGTGAAGTTTTTTTCTTTGGCAAAATGATTCCTTGTAATACGATAACTGAAACAAAAATAGCACATCAAGCATCAAGGTTTGTATAATGTAGGTTAAGGAAAATCTTTGGACATAGGTTTTTTACTTTAGGTGTTACATGTCATATGATACCACTGACTCTATTTCATATATGTTAGTATTGCATTCATCATATTACCATGTTGTCAGCATCCTTAAAAATGTTATGATCTTCTGAAAATGAAAAATTTGAAACTTTAAAATATTTACAGACTATACTAAAGCATTGGGAGTATAGAGTAGCAATGACGGTTTTAGTAAAATTAATGTTCCATATTTTTAACTTACCAAATTTTGATGGATTAATGCCATTTTGTTTTGGTAAAATTGATCTCTTCTCTCCTCTATCAATCTCTTGCCCTCTCTCTTTTTAATTGACTTTTTAGTAGAGATAATTGCACATTTACATGCAGTTTTAAGATGCAGTACAAGAGATTCCTTGTATACATTTCCCAGTTTCCTGCAATGGTAACACTTTGGAAAATTTTAAGATCACAACTAGGACATTGACACGGATACAATGCAATTATTATGCTCAGATTTCCCAGTTTTACCTATACTCTTTGTGTGTGTGTGTGTGTGTGTGTGTGTGTGTGTGTGTGTGTGTATGTATGTATTAAGTTCTATGCAATTTTATTCTGTGTATATTTGAGTGTATGAATTTTATCAAATGTATGTTCTTATACATATTGTGATACTCAGTGTTTCTTTATTCTGTTTTAAAGTTGCGATGTGAGTTGCATTAGTAGATGTTTCTGATTGTAACCATTTATGCACTCCTAGAATAACCTAGGACCATCTCAACCTCAAGACTAAGTTGTTCTATTTCCCAGTTCACATTTTGGGGAATATACTTATGGTTGAACCTACACATGCCTGCCTAGCTGGAGATTTTCAGGCCGGGATGTCTCAAATGCTATTAGCAGCCTGTAAATTAGCTTCCCTGAGTCCAGTGTTCACTCTAGTTTTCCCTCAGCTTGGGTGGTGCATGTAAGTGGTGTGACAGAAAATACGGTTGTTTAGGGCTAGTCTATCACTGGGGCTGTAAGTGTTGCATATATTACAATTGTCTAGTCATTAGTACATGTATCTTATGATAGTGTCCCCACTATTCCTATGGGTAATATAATATTTTAAAAAAAGCAGGCCGGGCGCAGTGGCTCATGCCTGTAATCCCAGCACTTTGGGAGGCTGAGGCGGAAGGATCACGAGGTCAGGAGATCGAGACCACCCTGGCTAAAACGGTGAAAC